CCCCCCCCCCCCCCCCCCCTTTCCCCCCGGGCCCCCCCCCCCCCCCCCCCCCCCCCCCTCCCAACACACCTGTGCCCTGGGAGGCGAGGGACCGACAGCATCTTTCCCTCCCCCGGAGGCCTGTTCATTCTCCGCCGCCACCGCCGCTGCCGCCGCCGCCGCTGCCAAAACCGCCGCCGCCGCCGCCTGCTCTCCGGGACCGGGGCCGTAGTTCCCCTCCCCGTCGCTGTCGAAGTCCTCAAGGAGTGCTCCCATTGGCTGCTCGGCCCTCGAGAGGGGACGGTTCGGGGGAGGGACCGGGGCGAGGCCGACGATACCGAGGGGCACCGTCGATGGGATCGGCGCCGTCACCGCCACGGGGGTCACCACCTGGTGCGCGGGGCCGCCCCACAGAATACGACAAAGCAACCGACGATCAATGTTAATATTTTTATTGGGGGAGTCTGGGTGTTACACAGCGGGGTACTGAAATGGTGTCTTCGGGAGGGTAAGGGTACGCCCGGTGGTAGGAGGGATGTACCGAGCGTACCGAGATTGTCGGTAGGGTATAGAGGGCTGTACCGAAGAGTACCGATATCGGTAGGGTACATACCGGTGGAAATACCGGCGGTAGCCTCGGTACGTACCCTACCGAACACTTCGTATGTGCTTCCCGGTTGCACCTCGAGGGTGTAGTGCCGCGGCCGAACATGACAAACACGCCCAATTTGAGAGGGGGGGAGGGGGATACTCTTGTGTTTTGCATGCCTTAGCGGTTAGACCATTGACCACGCGTCCTCGAGAGGACGGAGCGTTGTTCCCACAGGACCGATCACCGATGGCCAATCGTTCCTTCTCACTTCGCCAAAGGCGGCTCAAAAATGTCTTCCCCAGTCTGTCTATCCTAACGATACCCCTTCCCGCCTTTTCAAACCACTTCCTCCTACTCCCCAGTACAGCTACCGTCTTCTCCTCTCTATTCCATGCCTCAAACATCTCCCTGTACCTCCCTTGTATTTTTCCCAGCTCAGTCATGTACACTTCCCTCTCCGTATTGTACAGCCGACATTCCGCTACTTGAGGGGGTGGGAGGCAGTTCTTCGCGCGTTCAAAATAACATAGGGCAACAACCTTTGCAGTGCGACAGACATCACATCTCAGAGCGCGCCAAACCCAACCATCAGGGGTGGAATGTAGAGAAGATATCACACCCCCTGGAGGTACTTGCAGTTCGATTTCTCCACAGAAGAACGAGCGGCGGTGACACCAAAACGGTGGTCTTGGAGCCGTCTGGTCGATAGCTTTAGCTTCAGCCTTCCGAGAAGGTGTTATTTATCGTTTCATTTACGAACGGCTTTCGTCGTGGAAGTTGCAATCGAGCTACAAAAATCGGTCCAGGAGGTGTGCAGTATCTGGTGTCACCGTCTGCGTCCCTTCCGGGCACTGCTGTGTGACCCAGCCTCCTATTTACCAGACCATCCCTCACCTTCGTCAGCTCCGCCGAAGACTGCCGGGAGTGCGCCTCCTCCTCCTCCCCGTTTCCATCACTTCCCAACACCGTGGCCCCCGTCATCATCATCTTCTTCCCGGCCTTCCCGGTGGAAACTACAGAAGACACCACGGACATGCCATCGTCCTTGAAAAACATCACGAGAAAAATAAGCGTGCGCGCGGGGGGGGTGGGGGGGTACTCATTTTCTTGTTTTTTTTTGTAATCACACCCAAGCGTCCAGGATAAACTAGCAACGAACCCATAGTATTAGCATTGCATGCCGAAGCTGTTATTTAGACCATTGACCGCGAGATCTCTCGAAGGACCAAGTTCCCACATGACCTATAATATCAACGACGATACAGCAACGACAACAAGATCACCACCAACAGCAGCAACAACAACGGCGACACAACATTGACAACACCAACACCAACACCAACACCAACAGCTACAGCAGCAGCTGCAAAAACAACAACGATATCAACAACAACAACATCATCATCAACAACAACAAAAACCACATGTAAACCAACAACAACAACAACAACAACAACAGGCCAGCCTTACATCCCACTCCTGCTCGTGTTCCTCCTCTTCCTCCGAGCCCTCCCCCTCCTCAAGCGGTCCTTGGGCGGCGGTGCGCTGCCGTCCTCTCCCCCCCCCTTCATTGTCGTCATCATGATCATGATCATCATCATCATCATCATCACCCCCATAGGATGTTGCAGAGTCATAGTAGTCGTCCTCGTCCTCCGTTTCCGTCATAACATCATCGTCGTCTTCGGTGTCATCTACGGAATCGAACGACCCTTTCCGTTCCTGATCCCTTCCTCCACGCCCTACCGCCGGAGCGATGTGTAGGGTTTCCAAGAGAGAGAGAGAAAAAATGGCGGTGTAGAGGGGGCGGAAGAAGTGTGTTCTTCAAGCAAGCGCGACATGTAGCGTTTGCAAGAAATGGCACTATAGAGGGGACGAAAGTATCGTTCACGCAAGAGTGACATGTAGGGTTTCCAAGAGAGAAAAACATGGCATTATTCATGTAGAGGGGACGAAACAAGTGCTAAAGCAAGAGTGACACGTAGGGTTTCCCAGCGATAAAATAATGGTAAAAGGGAAAGAAAGTAATGTTCAAGCAAGCGCGGTATAGAGGATTTCCAAGAGAAAAAAGCAAGGCAAAGACCGGACTACATAAGAATCACCCCGATCCGGGGATGTCTCCGAAAGAAGCCTATGAAGCTTCTATCAAGCATGGTAGTTTACAGTACATGGTATTGGATAAAGAAAAGAATAAGCAAGAGGACGACCTGACGAGGAAGAGAAAAAAACGCCTACCTCGGTTGCCGCGCGTGTTGTCTCCTGCGCCGAAGCTGCTGCCGCCGAACGAGCTGCTGGTTCTAGCCCTCACCCTCGCCTGCTGCCTCCTCGACTCCGGCCTGCACGCACCGTGCAGCAGCAGCAGCGGCAGAAGCAGCAGCAGCAGCAGCAGCAGCAGCAGCAGCACGAGAGACGCGAGGAAAAACAAAAAAAAACGAAACGAAAAAAAACAGGAAAACACGGGTTGGTCAAAATTTTAGCCTTGAAAACGGTGTGCACCGTCCCCTACTCGGCAAGCTACCGACACACACACGCAGGCTGCAAAAACCAGCATACTCCTTACTAGGTCCTTCTTGTGCCCCGCGCAGGAATCTATTTACCGGTTGCTGCTGTTACATACTGTGTTGGGCAAAAAGACAGGTCTCACGAATGAATATGACCATCTCTCTGCTTGAACTCAATCGCTGACCTTGATACTCAAAAGCGTTCTCATGGAAGGGCTCGCGTACTGTATCACAGGCGAGCCATTTTGTTGTTCAGTTCCCCTGTCAGTCGCCCCTCGCCCCCGCCTCTTATAATTTCAACTTTTAATGTTACAGGGGACGGTTGTCTCTATTGTCCCCGCCCATTGTTACGGCTACATGTACAAGTCTTACCCAGTGAGCTTCTTCATGGATAGCGTAGTGCCCACGCGATTCTTGGAACTGAGCCACTCCAAGGCTTGCTCTCCCCGCGTCTGAATCTCCGCATCCTGCGAGCAAGAGTCATGTTGTCACAGGGTTGAAAAACTTCCTTACAGCTGGTGACAAGAAAGAAGGACACTGGTGTTGTATCGACAACAGAATCCACGGGCAGGCCTTCATGTCAACATAACGCAGAACACAGGAACGTTAGGGCGGGATCGAAAGAACGACAGAAGGGGAAAAAAAAAGAGCAAGATGGAGAAAGAAGAAATATGTCCAACTTACGTCCGAGAATATGTCCAACGCACGCTCCACCGCCACACGCCCCCCGGCTTTAACCAGCCTGCTCGCGTTCGGGTCGTTGTTGATCGCCAGGTTCGCGACTGCGGCGCAGCCCACGTGCTGCAGGTTTCTATCGCTGGGAAAGGCATTCATAGCCCCGGCCACCAGAAGGCAGCCTCCCGCCTCTCCAAGCCGCGTGCAGTTCTACCGCATAAGGGGGGGTATTCGGGTTTTGCATGGCTTAGTTCAAGGACCGTTGACTTTGTCAACACGTGTTTGTTGAGCGCGCCCATATTGATGATTTTATGTTTCCAAATATTCGATGACCAAAAAACTCAGATAACACACATTTTTCCCTTGTGTTTTACTTACTTCCATTGCACTATTTTTTTGTATTTTTGGTTTTTGGACAGATAAAGAGCTCTGATTTTGGGATCAGTCACACAGAGGAGATTTCCACTGCGATGCACACCTACTCCTCCAACCTTGGCTGTTTTCTTGTTTGTTTTTCTCTCTTTTCTCACCTGCGCGTTGCTATTTGCCAGGTTTCCCACCGCCCCGCACCCCATGTACTGCACGCCCAAGTCTCCTTGGAAACTCGCCAGGGCAGCGCACACCTGCCATGCATCGTTGACGTTGAAAGAGATAGAGAGGGGGGGGAAGGGGGGGGGAGAGAGAGACGTGGAGAGATCGACAGAGAGGAGAGAAAGGGGGGTGGGGCAGATCGACGGAGGAAGAGAGGAGAAGAGAGAGGGGGGGGGAGGTCGACAGAGAGAGAGAAGGAGGAGGGGGGGAGAGGGGAGAGCAAATAGGAGAGGTTGTGATCGTACGAAAAAAAAGAGCATTGGCTCCTGCTGGTACACGAAAAAAGTAACACAAAAAGACGGTGTAACCTGCGGCAGAACATATTATTGGTCGATGGAACGGAGTTCAGCACCAGCACCAGCACCAGCACCAGCATTAGCAACAATGGGAAGAGTAAATCCCACTAAATACCACAGCGACCACCACCACCGCACTAAAAATCAACACACATACCAGCACAAAACAGCATTAGCAACAAACATAAGCGCAAAAAAGCACACCAACACCAGCACAAAAAAAAACTACATCAGTAGCAGCGACAGCCACAACAACGAACGAACCAGTACTCCAAACACAAACTGTTACAACACTGACGGCAGAAAAACGGCAGCAACCGAAACAACAACAGTACCTTGCTGCACGCTCCCGCCGCCCCCAAGCGCCTCTTGTTCTCCTCGTGCCGGTTGGCAAGGTTTCCCACCGCCACGCAAGAGGCGTGCTGGACATCAATGTTGTCCGAGAATGTCGTCATGCTCTTGACAACGAGGGAGCACGCTCCGGCCCTGTACCAGCAACAAGGCGGGGTACAGTATCAGGTTCAGCCTTTTGGAGGGGGGCTGTCACACACCTACTCATTTGCTGCAGCCACGGCAGGGGGATTCTTGAACCAGATACACAAGTTTTGGAGAACCAGGCAACGCCCGCGCCCTCCCACAACCTTCCACTCACGGTCGGCCAGCAAGGTCTCACCTGAACCTGGCCTGCTCTCTGTTACATTGGCGATAGACAACCACGCAACATCGAGCTTTGCGGAACAGGAAAAGACACTTTCATAGTTTGAACTGTGACCCGTACCCCTCCCCCCCCCGCCCTGACAGAAAATGCCGTCCGAGCGTGTCTCTTGTCCAGCGGTGACAACAACGCTCGTTGTTTCAAACGGGATGCGTTGCAACCAAAAAGCTAGTGGCATCGGCATGCAACATAGCCCCCCCCCCCCCCCCCCCCCCCCCCCGGGGGGGGAACGAC